TGCCAGGCCAGATTCAGAAGAAGACGTGGAACAAGGGCTATCACTGCTGATGTCAGATAGATCTTGGCTTAAAGCAGAGAATATCAGAAAGAGGTTTACTTGTATTGACTCTGTCAATGCATTTGGCTGTGTGGATCATAACAAACTCTGGCTAACCTTGGAAAGAATGGGAATTCTAGAACACTTCATTGTGCTCATGCTGCACTTGTACATGGATCAAGAGGCAGTTGTGCAAACAGAACAGGGAATACTTCATGGTTTAAAACCAAGCAAGGCCATCTATCAGACAAGCAATAAAGCCCACATGGAAGCACACCAGCTTCTGTGATCATGAGGTGTGGACAGGAATAGGTGCTAGAAATTAAAAAACAAGCAATGAAATTGAAGCGAAGGAGCATAGGCAAAGTGGAGATCCAAAGCCCATCTGCAGGCTAACTGGACAGTTCCTCACAGAAGGGCCACATAGAAGGGAGGACATATCCAGGGTGCTGTGTAGTTCTGATGAAACACCTAACTATCCTCTAATTCTTTAATATTTCCTCTCCTTACTATTATGGTCTTAGTTTTACCACATTCACCTTGTTAGATTGTTGGGTGCATGAAATCTAAGATGCTGTATATACTTGCAAGCAGAGTTTTTCAGCACATTTTAAATACAGTTTTGTGGTAAAATTAGGTGCCTCGGCTGATACTTGGGTCGGCTTATCCTCGATTATATACGGTAGACAAACCCTTCAGAAATAGAAATGGGAGTAATGATTCCCTGAGGGTATGGGAACAGATGGGCAGGATGTGGGGGTGGAAGGGGAAGCAGATACTAATGATGACTATGTAACCTCACTCGAGGGGAATGAGCAACAGAATTATAGGTGAATGGATATAATGGATGGTGTAAAATATGGCAATGATAATAATAATATATATTAGAAAGGGTTCCTGTGGGGTTAGGGTGGGGTAGGGCGGGGAGAAGGGGAAAAGGGAAGCTGATGTAAAGAGTTCAAGAAGACAGAAAATGTTTTGAAAATGATAGTGGCAGCAAATGTACAATGATGTTTGATCTAATTGAATTATGTACATAGAATAAGGAAAACCATGGAAGAATAGACGTATTTGAATTGTTTAAAGTACCATGAAGTGTTAAAAGGACAAACCTATATCTTGAAAGAAGTATGGCCAGAATGTTCCTCAGAAGCAAGGGTGGTCAGACTCCGTCTTACATACTTTGAGACATGGTTGTCAGAAGAGACCAGTCCTGGAGAAGGATATGATATTTGGCAAAGTAGAGGGGGTAGCACAAACGAGGCCAGCCCTCCAGGAGCTGGGTTGACACCATGGCTGCAGCAATGGGCTCGAGCATAGAAGCCCGGGTGAGGAGCGCAGCACAGGGCAGTTTCCTTCTGTCGTGCATAAGGTGGCTATGGGTCAGAGTGGACTCCAAGACACCTAACAACAAGAACACAATGAGCAAAATAATGAACAGTGCAGGAAGCGTCAAAAGAAGATGGAAGGATCACTCGTGTCCTTGCCTCTGGCTGAAAAAGAATAGGAGACACAACAGTCGTGCCACAAAGGGCCTCAGCCATTGGTAGCCTATTTGCTGCATACACTGTGCCCACTGCATGACCAGACAGGTCATTAAGAAGTTGACAATTTGAAACATAACAGAGGCCAAAACAAGTGTCTCTGAAGCATATGTAATTCCCAAGTTGTAGGAGAAGCTGTATTATTGTGTGAGTTGTTTCATTCACTGAAAGGTGATCAGGAAATGGTCACGGAAAGTTTGGACGGACCCAACACCCACCCTGATTTAGACCTGCTAATGCTGCTCCACAACTTCCTCCAAAGCTTATGCAGAGCTATGAAGAAAAAGAAACCTGAAAGAAAATAAAATGGATTAATTCATAAAAGAGATATTGGCCTGTGTACATATATTTATATGGCAATACATTGAGGAAGTAGATGAATTTTGGGCCTCTGCTAAAGCCCTCCCCCAACGCAAGAATACTTGGATTTAACAACCTGGCATTCTGTGGTGCTCGCCCTCCCAACACGATTGCTGAGGACAAAATGGGTACATAAGCAAATGGGGTGAAGAAAGCTGATGGTGCCCCACTATCAAAAGATATAGCATCTGGGGTGTTAAAGGCTGGAAGTTAAACAAACGGCCATCTAGCAGAGAAGCAACAAGCCCACGTGGAAGAAGCACTCCAGCCTGTGCAATCATTAGGTGTTGATAATAGGCACCAGAAGATCCAAAACAAACCAAAAAACCATACTGTTGAGAACGAGGGGGATTGGAGCAGAGACCCAAAACCGATCTGCAGAAAATAGGACATCCCCTCACAGAAGGGTCACAAGGGATGATGAGTCAACCAGGGTGCAGTATAGCACCGATGAAACATACAATATTCCTCTGGTTCTTTGAAGCTTCCTCACCCCCCACTACCATGACCCCAGTCCTGCCTTTCAGTTCAGGCTAGACTGGAGCATGTACACAGGTACAGAGTAAGACACGGAATCCAGGTCAGATAAATCCCTCAGGAACAGAAATGGGAGTAGCGATACCAGGAAGGTAGGGGGAAGGTGGGTGGAGAGGGGGAAAGAAGGGGGAACCGATTGCAATAATCAACACATAAGCCCTTCCTGCTCCAAGGGGGACGAACAACGGAAATGTGGGTAAAGGGAGACAGCGATCCATATAAAATATGAAAATAAAAATTATTTATAATTTATCAAGGGGTCATGAGGGTGGTGGGGGATATCAAAGGCTCAAATAGAAAAAGTAAATGCTTAGAAAATGATGATGGCAACATATACACAAATAAGCTTGACACAACTGATGTATAGAAAGTTAAAAGAGCTGAGCTGTAAGAGCCCCAAATAAAATTACTTTAAAAAAAGAAAAGAAACTGGCAATCATATCTTTGGGGAAAAAAAATCATTGTATTCCTAAGCGACACTCACTCAACCACTTCAAGAGGATGAAAATGACAAAGAACCCATGGTACAGAAGTAAGAAGTCCGAAAAACAAAGCCCCTGGAATTGACAAAATACCAGTTGAGATGTATTGGTATTAAAAGCACTGGTAGCACATACTTACCTAGGCTAAGACTTTTAGAAGGCAACCACCTGGCCAAACTGATTAAAAGAAATCCATATTTATGCCCATTCCAAAGAAAGGTGACCCAAGAGAATGTAGAAATCATCCAACATTATCACACACAAATAACATTTTGCTGAAAATAATTAAGAGCACATGGGACAAGGGATTATCATTACTGACATCAGATCGGTCTTGAGTGAAAGCAGAGAATGCTAGTAAGATGTTTACCTGTTTTTAATGCCTGTGCAAAGGCATTCAACCGTGTGCATCATAACAAGCTATAGATAACACTGAAAAGACTGGGAATTCCAGAACACTTAATTGTGCTCATGAGGAACTTATTTACGGATCAAGAGGCAGCTGTGTAAACAGAACAAGGGAAACTGCATGGTTTAAAATCAGAAAGGTGTGCGTCAGAGATGTATTCTTTCACCATATTTATACAATTTGTATGCTGAGCAAATAACCCAAGAACCTGGACTCTTGGAGAAAGGCTTATTAACACACTGCAATACAGAGATAACAAAACCTTGCTGCCTGAAAGTGAGCTCTTAAAACACTTGTTGATGAAGATCAAATATTGCAGCCTTCAGTAGAAAACCAAAATCCTCACTACTGGACCAATGATAAATGGAGAAAAGACTGAAGTCGTCAAGGATTTCATCTTGCTTGGATCCATAGTCAATTTTCACAGAAGCAGCAAAGAAGACATCAAAGGATACCTTGCACTGGGTAAATCTGCTGCACAAGAATGCTTTAATGTTGAAGAGCAAGCACGTCACTTGGAGCAAGCAAAAGTGACCCAAGCCATGACATTTTCAAATCACAAAATATGCCTATGAAAACTGGACACGGAATACGGAACACTGAAAACAACACAACACAACACCAGTGCATCTGAACGAGTGCTGGTGAGGAATATTCAGAGTACTTTGGACTGCCAAAAGACACGCAGCTCTATCTTGGAAGAGGTCAGTCAGAATGTTCCACAGAAGTGACAATGGGGCAAGATGTGATAAAATCATACTTCATAAATTATCAAGGGCTCATGAGGGAGCGGGGAGAGGGGAGGGAGGGGGAAAAATGAGGAGGTCATGCCAGGGGCTTAAGTGGAGAGCAAATGTTTTGAGAATGATGAGGGCAATGAATATACAAATGTGCTTGACACAATTGATGTATGTATGGATTGTGATAAGAGTTGTACAAGCCCCTAATAAAATGATTTTTTTTTAAAAAAGAAGTGACAGTGGGGAGACATCATCTCATATACTTTGGACATGTCATCAGGAGAAACTCGTGCCTGGAAAAGGACATCATGTTTAGTGAAATAGAAGGGCAGTGAAAAAGAGGAAGATCCTCAAGGAGATGGACTGGCAGTAGCAGCAACAATGGGCTCAAACATAAGCACAACTGTGCGGATGGCGAAGGACTAGACAGGGCTCAAGTAGGAATGCACTCGATGGCACCTAAGAACAGTATGTCCGAGAACTTTCATCAACAGTGAGTGTTTAAACTTTAAAATCTTTAATGCGATAGGTATAATAGTATACTGACAATTGTAATTTGCCCTTGAAACTTTCAAATGAGAGTATATGGTATAATATACACACATACATACATCGTCATCCATGATGCTTTTTTGAGTTTCTATAAACCCTTTTGTTAATTTTCCAATAGAATGCACCACTACAGTTTATGTTATTCTAAGTCTCAATCTAGCTTATAAAATTAGGCTACATAATCAAGATTGTTTAATCGGGATTAGTAACTCATGAAGAGAGTACTGGTGCAATATCAAACAACCAGTATCCACGATAGTTTTCCAGCTTAATTCACAAGCTCCATCTAAATCACTAAAATTGAAATCAATTTTATAACAATTATTCAATTTGATACCTGCTGAATTCCAAGGCACAAGTATAAGATACTGTCTGGATCATATTTTTCACCATTTGGTCTCCGCACCTCTTGTATAAACTGGCATAAGCCCAAACTCAACTCAGCAAAAGTGCAGGACAAAAGATCTTCCTTCAGTTTAACAGAGCGGACTGTGGAAAGAAAGCAAGCACCTGAAGCATTAGCTTGTAACACACAAAATAACATTACTTGATTCAACACATTAAGCATAATAAACAGTCAACACACTGTGTCCCAGGTATTGTGTAGCTTATACCTGGATGAAAGACATATACTGATTGTAAAGCTTTTAGTCTGGGTACCAAAGATAATTCCGTGCATGTGGTGTGAGACTCTATGATGGAGAATACATGACTGCTGAGTTTTTGTTTTTTGTTTGTTTGTTTGTTTTAGTGATGGTGGTGGTGTTTACAGCATTCTATTAATACAAAAGTCAGGTTGCATTTTGGGGGATGTGATACTTCAGATAGATGCTGAAAGGTGATGAAGTATTAGTGAAATATCCCAGTCTGAGAATATTAAAAAATTTCCCCCAAGGGCTCGAATAGAAAGCAAATGTTTGAGAATGATGCGGGCAACAAATGTACAAATGTGCTTGACATAATAGATGTATGTATGGACTGTGCCAGAGTTGTACGACCCCCCCAATAAAATGATTTTTTTTAAAAATTTCCCAAACTTGTCATATGGGAGAACTCTCAAAACCTGGTTCTCCAAGTCTGATAAAATACCCTGGTGGAGCAGGTGGAGAAGCAGTGCATTGTAACTGCAAGGTCAGTGATTCAAATCCACCTAGCCACTCTGCAGGAGAAAGATACTATTTGCTCCTGTAAAGATTTACAGCCTTCGAAAACCTACAGAGAGTCACCATCACTTGGAATTAACTCAATGGCAGTGTGCTACATACTACATCTGACTTTAAATAATTGACAGTGCCCTTTGGTTCTTTTTTAAAGTTCTGAGAATACCAACAATAAAGAGTGTTAACTTTAACTGTTTTATTCCGATACACTACTGAAACCAAAGCCACTGTATCAATTTCAATTCATAGTGACGCTACAGAACCAAGTGTAATTGCCTCACACGTTTTCCACGGCCTGCAAATTGGAAGCAGACTGACAAGTATTTCTACTGCAGAGCAGTTGATGGGTTTCTACTGCAGAGCGGTTGGTGGGTTCAAGCCAAGTGCTTATTTAAATTAAAAACACTGTTATTGAATCAAGGTCGACTCACAGTAGCCCAACAGGGCAGGGTAGAACTGCCCATGGGAGTTTCCAAGACGCTAATTCTTTACTGCAGTAGAAAGTCTTGTCTTTGTCCCAAGGAGCAGCTGGTGGTTTCAAAATGCTGACTCTGCAGTTAGCAGGCCAACATATAACCACTACGCCACCAGTCCTTATTTAAATATAGAGCACTTCAAATAATATAAAGTATCCTCACAAATCTTTAAAGGTGCTATACAGTGTGGATTAGGCCACAAAAGTGAAGAAGTTCAAAGGATTTAAGAGTCCCAAAGAATATCAAGAAGGGTAGGTGAGTAAGGAGTATGGTAAAGATATGAAGACAAGGAAGAATTGAGTTATTTTCAGCATGATTGTTATCTAGTTTGATTTTATCAAGATACTACTTAACAGGATGGTCTACATGGTAGACTTAGAATTAAAAACCTTCTCTAGTCATTGTTCTTCTGAATTTAGATGGAACTTCATGTTCATAGTACCTGGCTCTACAAAGAGCAAGTTCATGAGGTCAAAGATCATATTTGACTTCTTCACTCAATTATCGTAGTTGGTACTACTACATAATAGGTATTCATATACCTGGTACAAATAGATTCAAAAGTATTTTCTGAATTAATGAACAACAGAAATACTTAGGCATCTCCTGAAGTTATTCCATTTAAGGTCCTACAGTCTAAACAATATTCTCTCCATACTTTCCACTTCCCTTTTTTCTCTAAAACCAAGAGTGCAGTGGCTCAAAGTGGAAAGCTAGAGGCCTGATAAACCACTCCAAAAAACCCCTAATCTCAATGCGATTGAGTCGATGCTGAATCAGCGCCCCCCTGAAGGTTTCCCAGACTGTAAATGTTTACGGGAGTCGAGAGCCCAGTCTTTATCCCATGGAGCTACTGGTGGTTTCAAACTGTCATCCATGGGGATTGCAGCCCAACTCGTAACCACTACACCACCAGGGTGCCTATGAAAAACCACTATAGGAGTTTATTTACAGAACCCTGGTGTAGAGAGATTACATGTATAAGAAGGTAACTAGTCGGCTACAGCACACAGCAGGAACTCTTCTCCACTAAGCAGGGCTACGAAAACCAGAAGTGCAGACAGTCATGTGATCACCCACGTGTTAGCATGCACAGTTGGAAAAAGCATTAGCACTGAGTTGAACTTGACTCATTGTGACCCTATAGAACTTAGTAAAACTGTCCCTAGAAGTTTCCAAGACTGTAAATCTTTAGGGAGTAGAAAGCCTCATCTTTCTCCCAAGGAACAGCTAATAGTTTCAAACTGCTGACCTAGCAGTTAGCAGCCCCAATACATAGCACACTATGCCACTGGGGCTAAAAACTCTAGTTATGTGGACATACCCATCAATCTCTACCTATGGCATTCCATAAAGAATTTAAACAGCTTATAAAATATATGAAAATACATATAAAAAATGAAAAATTTTATAAGAGAATAATAAGGAATGCTGTGTCATTGTAACTCAGTTTTATTCTAATACAATCCTGAAACCAAAGCTGCTGTGGGAAAAGACAACTAGTGGAGGTCCTAAAATTATATTTGAACTGTTTATTTGGCTGCAAATACTCTAGGCTAAAAACAAATTCATGACCAAGGTTGGTTTTACTGTTGGGAAAATTACTACACAAGCAGAAAGGCTTTTCAAGGTAGTTTACTCAAAATGGAAAGAAAAAGTTTCACACTGGGCCCTATCTGGGTCACTATACAAACAGAGAGCAATAATACAGTTGAGATATCTGCAAAGCTCTAGAAAATGAAATAAAATTCTGTATAGCTTCATAATTAGTGCACAGCCCAAAGTGAGAAACGTATTTGTATAATAAGCTTTTCTTGACTTAGTTACAAGGGTTTGCTTTAAAAAAGTTAAAATTACTGCAGGTTACAAAATACATCTTTATTTCAGAGATATTAAAATATTAAGAAAAAATGAATTCTTTGATTATAGAAACATGAAATGGTAGACCACCCTGGAAAATAGTGTGGGGAATAAAGGAAGGATAAAGCATTGAATTATATATGTAAATATAGTTACAATGGCAAATTCTTTTACATATATTTTACCAGGATAAAAATATAAAATTTAACTTAGGGAGTGGCAAGAAGGTACAGTAACAGATAAGAAGACGTAAGTAAGAGATGCTATCATCCAAAAGCAGGATATGAACATTCCTAGAGCCCTGATTCGAAACAACTAAATCCAAAGTAATAGTATGGGACTAGTTTGTTTTGTTAGATGTGATACCACCGAATAACACAGAAGTCTACATCTGAATGAGGCAAGAATCTATTGATGGGTAAAGTAGTACCTGGATTAGGTAGGAAAAAAGTTGGAGGTAAGATCATTTCTCAAGTTTTAGATAATTTTAAACATTTAACTTGAAAATTTAAAGCCACAGTTATGTAACAAATAATTCCAACCATATAGATAGAAACACATTTCACCTCTACACCCTAGTTCTGAGGATTCTTGAGAGAGGGCTCGGTCTTGAGAATTTCCTAAGGGATCAGAACATGGGCTAGATGACGCATGTTCAGCACCTGACAAGGAGAGAAAACAGGAAAGACATTTAAATAAAGATGGGAAATTAAGTAAAACTTGAATGTATTTTTATGGGATTTCTGACGGGATTTATCTCTTCTGTGTATGTATATCTACAACCCTATTTTATTTGCATTTTCTTTCACCTGAGTCAAGAAACACATTCTTGTTGTGTATTTACCTCCACATTTTAGATCCCCCTGTTCTTCCTTGGCATTTTTCCACTGAACCCAGTTCTTCCAGGCATTTACTCCATACATGTACTTTAGTGTCATCCCAGACACGGAGCACCCTTGAAAAGCTCCCTGAATAAGACTTCTGGGTTCCACAGACACTATAGACTTCTTCCGACCCTGGAAAATGACAATGAAATAGAAGAAGAGTTACACTAGTAACCAAAAGTGATTTTAAAGTTATAGTGATCAAGATAGGGGCCCCACCATAACAATAGATAATATAGATCAATGAAGAAAAGGGAACATTCAGGAATAGGTTCACGTAACTAAGGGAACTACAAAAACTGTGGAAAAATGGATTTAGAAGATGATGGAATTTCTCTATAAAAATGTTAAGCCCCCTCATATATAATGAAATGGCTTTTAACAAAAAGATGCCAATGAGATTTAATGGGGAGAAAGTCTATTCCAACTATGGTATTGAGACAACTGTATATCGATTTGCAAAAACCAAAAAAGATCCTTGACCTCTGCCTAAAAGCAGATCCCAGGCAGTCGAAAACAGAAAATATTTCAATTAACATGGGCAAGGAAACAAACTTTAGCTAAAACATTAAAAAAAAACTTGAGGTATTCAAGAACAAATATGGATAAAGGGAATTTTTCCAAAATTAAAATCTTTTGCTCAAAGGATACCATTAAGACAATGAAAAAGGACAAAGAATAAAATATTTTCACATTCATAGCTGATGAACAGTTGTATCCAGAACAGAGAACACTTACTACTTAATAAAATTACAATAAATCCCCACAAAAATGGGGGGAAGGGTCCAAAATATTTTATTCGACATTTCACAAAAGAACATATGCTTATGAAAAGATGCTCAAGATCACTAATCCTTAGGGAACTACAAATTAATACCACAATGATATATACTACTACACACTTATCACAACAATCCAATAGGAACAAGAGTAGGACTGCTTTCTGGGGTTTCCTCTAAAAACTCTTAACAAACTCACTGCCATGGAGTCAACGCTGTGAGTTTATGAGACTGGAAGTGTTTACGGGAATAGAGCGCCCAGTCTTTCTCCCACAGAGCTTCTGGTGGTTTCAAAGTGCCGACCATGCAGATAACTGCCCAACTCCTAACCACTAAACCACCAGGGCTCCTTAGGTTGTAAATTAATGGGGGCAGACTGCTTTCTCTTTCTCTTGCAGTGTGACTAAGGGCTCAATCACTGTCTTTTCAGTTAGCAGCTCAAGATTATTGCATCACCAGAGGTCCCGATCCTCTACTTAAACAAAGAGCTTGCCGCAAGTCAATTCTGACTCGGAGCAACCCGATGAACGGAACTGCCCCTCTAGAGTTTTGAAGCTGTAAATCTTTACAGGAGTAGAAAAACTCACCTTGTTCCCATGGAGCAGCTGGTGGGTTTGAACTACTGGCCTTGTGGTTATTAACCCAACACATAATCTACTACGCCACCAGGGCTCCTTATATATCACTCACTCACTCACTCACTCACTCACTCACTCACTCACTCACTCACTCACTCACTCACTCACTCACTTACTGTTACCAAGTGGATTCAAATCACAGTAACCCTATGAACAAAGTAGAGCTGCCCTGTGGATCTCTAAGACTAATTTTGTAAGGGCGAAGAAAGCTTCATCTTTCTCTTGTGGAAGAGCTGGTGGTTCGAACTGTGGATCTTCCGTTTGGCAGCCCAAAGCATGACCCACTAGGAGGGTTAAAACTGTTGTTAGTTGTCAGGTTCCAAGGAGTCTGATCCGACCCATAGCAACCCTGTACATAACAGAATGAACCACACTGGACCATCCTCCTCCAATTGTTCCGAAACCTGAACCCATTGATGCAGACACCCTGTCAATCCATCTCGATGAGGTCCTTCCTCTTTATCCCCACCCCTTTACTGAATCAAACATGATGTCCTTCACCAGGGACTGGTTTCTCCTGACAATATATTCAAAGTACATAAGACAAAGTCTTGTCATCCTTGCCTCGAAGATGCACTTTGGCTTTACTTTTTCCAATACAGAGCAGCGTGTCCTTTTAGCAGTCCATGAGACTTTCAATATTCTTTTCCAGCACCACAATTCAAATGTATCGATTCTTCTATAGTCTTCCTTATTCAATGACCAACATTCACATGCATATGACGCAATAGAAAATATGGCTTGGGTGAGGCGAACCTTGGTCCTCAAAGTAACATCCTTATTTTTCAATGCTCTAAAGAGGTCTTGTGCAGCAGATTTACCAAATGCAACACATTTTCTTTGATCTCTTGAATCCTGCTTCCATGAGCAATGATTATTGATCCAAGTAAAACTAAATCCTTGACAACTTCAACCTTTTCTCCATTTATCATGTTACATGTTGGCCCAGCTGTGAGGATTTTAGTCTTCCTTACACTGAATTATAATCTATACTGCAGGCTATAATCCTTGATTTTCATCAGCAAGTGCTTCAATTCCTCCTCACGCTCAGCAAGCAAGGTTGTTTCATTTGCATACCTCAGGTTGTTAATAAGCCTTCCTCCAATCCTAATGCCACCACTCTTCATATAATCTAGCTTCTCTAATGATTTGCTAATCAGACAAAGATACAACCCTGATGCACACCTTTCCTGATTTTAAACAATACAGTATTCCCTGGTTCTGTTTGCATTACTGTCTCTTGATCCATGTACAAGTTCCTCACGAACACCAGGAAATGTTCTGGAATTCTCACTCTTCTCAAGGTTATCCCTGACTTATTATGTCCACACACTTGAATGCCTTTGCATAGTCAATGGAACACAGGTAAAGAGCCTCCTGGTATTCGATGCTTTGAGCCATGATCCATCTGACATCAGCAATGATATCTCTGTTTCACGTTCTCATCTAAATCGGGTCTAACTTCTGGCAATTTCCTGTCAATGTATTGCTGCAACCATTGTTGGAAGATCTTAAGCAAAATGTTACTAGTGTGTGATATCAATGACATTGTTCTAAAGTTTGAGCATTCTGTTGGGTCACCTTTCTTTGGAATGAGTACAAACACGGATCTCGTCCAGTCAGCTGGCCAAATAGCTGCCTTCCAAATTTCCGAGCACAGACAAGTAAGTGCTTTCAGTACTTCACCAGCTTGTTGAAACATTTCAGTTGATAGTCCATCAATTCCTGGAACCTTGTTTTTGGCTAATGTTTTCAGTGCAGCTTGAATATCTTCCTTCAGCATCAACAGTACTTGCTCATGTGCCACCTCCTCAAATGGTGGAATGACTAATCCTTTTTGGTATAGTGACGCTATGTATTCTTCCCATCTTCTTTTGACATTTCCTGCATTATTCAATAATTTGCCCATACAATCCATCAATATTTCAACTTGAGGTTTGAATTTTTTTCTTGAGTTCTTTCAGTTTACAATATGCAGAATATGGTCTTCCCTTTTGGTTGTCTAACTCTAGGTCTGTGCACATTTCATTACAATATTTGACTTGTCTTCTCCAGCTGCTCCTTGCATTTAAAAAAAATCATTTTATTGGGGGCTCGTACAACTCTTATCATAATCCATACATACATCCAGTGTGTCAAGCACATTTGTACATTTGTTTCCATCATCATTCTCAAAACATTTGCTTTCTACTTGAGCCCTTGGTATCTGCTCCTCATTCCCACCCCAACCCCCAGTTCCCCTGTCCCTCATGAACCCTTGATAATTTATAAATCATTATTTTGTTATACCCTTCACATTTTTCTACTCGGCTCCTCAATTTCATCCTTTTTTCCATTTACTTTAGCTACTCTATGACTACAAGCAAGTTTCTTCTGACAACCCTCAGATCTTTGGCTTCTGGCTATTTAATGACCTTCTGTATTCTGGATGTCCTCCTACGGCTCATCGGGTCTTCTGTTTTTGTGGTCAGTGGGCCAAATTTGTTCTTGAGATGTTTTCCAAATTCAGGTGGGATAGATTCACAGTTACATTTTGACTCTATTGGACTTGTTTTAATTTTCATCACCTTTATCCTGAAATTACATATGAGCAATTGTAACAGCCCCTGGTCTGGTTTTAGCTGCTATTGAGCTTCTACATTGTCTCTTCCCAGAGATGTAGTCAATTTGATTTTTGTGTATTCCATCTGGAGGCTGCCTTTTGTACTTTTGAAAAAAGGTATCTGCCGTCAGTTTATAAAAACAGTGAATGGTGAGGGAGGGGGGAAAATGAGGAGCTGATGCCAGAGGCTTAAGTGGAGAGGAAATGTTTTGAGAATGATGAGGGCAATGAATGTACAAATGTGCTTTACACAATTGATGTGTGTATGGACTGTGATAATAGTTGTATAAGCCCCTAATAAAATGATTTTTTTTTAAATAGTGAATGGAACAGATAGTGAAGTGCAGTGTTTGGGACAACAAAGCCCATAATCTCAAAATAGTTTTTTTCCTTTCAGTCCTCGATCTTTTAAAAGTCTAAGTACGAGCCACAACCATGGAATGAATATTAAGTTAGGATCAGGAAAAGGAAGCACTTAACATTATTTCTGCTTTTGAAAGTTATAGTAATGTGATATCAAATAAAAAAACAACAATCACATTGTTATAGTAAACATCAATTATTCAATTTAAATGCACCAGAACCAAACAGTACATATGTCGAGATCACAGCAAGTTAACAGCTTCATCAATATTATTGTAGACATGGAAACAGATCACTACTCCAATGGAGTTGAAGATACTTCACCCAATTGTTTCCTGCGTGGTAGCTCTAAAACATGACCATGAAATGGAAGATTGCAACACTGAAATGAAAATTGATTTAAGTCATTTGAGACACGAGTTGTGAGGAGGAAGTCTTGCTGTGATACAGTGAATGACTCACTTTAAAAGAGCTACAGTCTATGAGTGAACAACTGAGGTGAGAATGTGGCAAGAACACAGCAAATTTTTAAAAAGTTGAAGGATGCACTGCTTACTAGCTTACTCAGACCCTTGGAACAGCCTAGTTGTAAATCAACTTGATCTAGGGCACAGAGAACTTGTGAGCTGCACTCTCAACAGTACAGTATTAAAAACCCATAATCTGACAAAGCAACTTTTACCTGCCCTAGCAATAGGCCAGGCCACACCATAGTTAGGACTGATGGCTTAATCTGGAATTGAAACCTGT